GGGGATTAGCCCATCCGGGCATAGGTCACTGACCCACATTGGGGCCTGAGGGGCAAAAATTTAATACTCCTGTAATAATAATAATTCAGAAAAAAAAAAAAAAAAAAGCTGCCTATCTACCTATTGGACAAACTAAAATCGTTCCGGACCACGGGAGTTTCCGGACCACAGAATGCTGGACTAGAGAGGTACAACCTGTATTCAAAATGATCATCATATTGTAAGAATTCCAGCAATGTAAATTATATTCTGGCCGGGTAATTTGTATGAATTTTATGAGCTAAATAAAAAAAAATTAAAATTAAAATTATACCTCACCGCGTATATGAGTAGATGCACCGCGGAAAGTGAAAGTCCGGTGCTGCCAAGGTACCGCGTAAATGAGAAATCGCGGAAAGTGAAACCGTGTAAAGCGGGGTAATACTGTACAATACATACTTATGTAAGTTAGTACAGGTTGTACCTCTCTAGTCCGGCATTCTGTGGTCCGGAAACTCCCGTGGTCCGGAATGATTTTAGTTTGTCCAATAGGTAGATAGGCAGCTTTTTTTTCTTTTCTTTTTTTATCTGAATTTTTATTATTATTACAGGAGTATTAAATTTTTGCCCATCAGGCCCCAATGTGGGTCAGTGACCTGTGCCCAGGTGGGCTAATCCCCATAAAAAAAACAACAACAAAGCCGCGGGAAATTAAGGCTTGTTTACATCCGGCAGTTCAGCTGCTCTCTCTCTCTCTCTCTCTCTCTCTCTGCTTGTCTATACAGAGTACAACATTTAACCCTTCAATATATATGAGCAGTAAATAAGTGTTGCTTTCATATTCTCATGTAGAGTAATGACGATATGTTTTCACATGTGCGCACTTACATACGCGCACTCACTTTTTTTTTTACCATTAATGGTTAGCTACTTATATTGTTCCATTTATTAACATTAAATAACGTTACAGGTACTTCAAACAACCACATTAATTTTTTTACATTAATTTTACTACAGCTACAATCAGGGTCTTATTTTCTTCAGTTTTAAATGTAGAACCAATTAGTCACTGGTTTTGTAAGCTTTAACATAAACAATGCCGGCAGCCATCTCGTCTCATCGTGTGTCTTCATTTTCCACGTATTATTAATAAATTGTATTGTTAATTTTACACACACAAACATTAATTCAATAAAAACAAATTCAGAAATATTAATTAAAATATATATGTACAGTTTTACCCCGCCTAACGCGGTTTCACTTAACGCGTTTTCGCATATACGCGGTGCCTTGCCAAAGCTGAACTTTCACTTAACGCGGATTTTTTCCACATATACGCGGTGAGTGTCCGAGACGCTATTTTTAGATTTGCCCCACCCGCCACCCTGCCTGACTGCCTGTTTTAGCTCATAAAATTCATACAAATTACCAGGCCAGAATATAATTTACATTGCTGGAATTCTTATAATTTGGTGATCATTTTGAATATAAACATCATATATTTTGCTTTAAACTTACAATTTTTAGATAAAAATTTTTCTCTAGGTAACTATGGTATCTTTTGTGCAAAATATATGACATTTATATTCAAAATATTCCTGGTCTTACAAGGAATCCAGCAATGTCAATTATATTATCCTAACTTTAGTTTGAGGTATTATTTATTAAAATTTAGTGGTTATCCCACACATCTCCTTGGGACGGTTGGTGGGGGGTGGGGGGGAGGGAGGGACCGACCGACCATCTGTTACCCTGTGAAGAATTATTATTTTTTTTTATTAACTGAAGATATTTGTTTTAGCTCATAAAATTCATACAAATTACCCGGTCAGAATATAATTTACATTGCTGGAATTCTTATAATTTGGTGATCATTTTGAATATAAACATCATAGATTTTGCTTTAAACTTACAATTTTTAGATAAAAATTTTTCTCTAGGTAACTATGGTATCTTTTGTGCAAAATATATGACATTTATATTCAAAATATTCCTGGTCTTACAAGGAATCCAGCAATGTCAATTATATTATCCTAACTTTAATCTGAGGTATTATTTAATACTAAATGTTAAAAACTCTGGAAGGGAGGATTGGTGGGGGGTGGGGGGGAGGGTTGGGACTGACCGCGCGGTTGGAAGAGGGGGGGAGGCAAGGTGGGGTACTTTGATTGACAGATAGTGTCGTGAAGATTATTTTTTTTTTATTAACTGAAGATATTTGTTTTAGCTCATAAAATTCATACAAATTACCCGGTCAGAATATAATTTACATTGCTGGAATTCTTATAATTTGGTGATCATTTTGAATATAAACATCATATATTTTGCTTTAAACTTACAATTTTTAGATAAAAATTTTTCTCTAGGTAACTATGTTATCTTTTGTGCAAAATATATGACATTTATATTCAAAATATTCCTGGTCTTACAAGGAATCCAGCAATGTCAATTATATTTTCCTAACTTTAGTTTGAGGTTATCCCACACATCTCCTTGGGACGGTTGGTGGGGGGTGGGGGGGGGAGGGAGGGACCGACCGACCATCTGTTAGCCGGCTGTGTAGTGTGAGAGGGGGAGGGAGTTGAGTCCATTATTTGAATGGACATTAACTTGGCGACTGTATTTCTCTATTTCTCTTAAGTATTAATTGTGTGCATGTACCATCATAAAATTAAGATGTTATTTTTACTACAACATAGGTATGTGCCTTCAAAAAGTGGAGTTTGGGGGTCGGGCCGGTTTCTATTGGAATTAATCCCATATGTTCTGTTGTTCACTTAACGCGGGTTTCACTTAACGCGGGACCCTCTGGGTTCAATTGACCGCGTTAAGTGGGGTACAACTGTACAGTAAATAAGTGTTGCTTTCATATTCTTATGTAAAGTAATGACGATATGTTTTTACGTGTGCGCACTTACATATGCGATCTCTCTTTTTTCTTTACCATTATCGTTAGCTACTTCTATTGTTCCATTTATTAATATTAAATAACATGACTTAAAACAACCATATTAATTTTACTACAGCTACAACCAAGGTCTTATTTTCTTCAGTTTTATATGTAGAACCAGTTAGTCACTGGTTTTGTAATCAACGAAAACAATGCTGTGTCATTTCCTCGTGTGTTTTAATATTTTACGTACTATTAATGAATTGTATTGCTCATTTTGCACACATAAACATTAATTCAATAAAAAAGACATTCAGTAATAAACAATAATGAATCTTTTGTACATAAGAGAAATGACGCTGTTTACACGATTATGCACGTCGTTTGCACGTTGGCGGGCCGTTCAAACCCGTCGAAATTCAAGTTTCCACCCTCAATATTTTTATTTATTTTTTTGTGTGTTCCAATAAAATACGCTGAATTAAAAACTCGCGAAATTTGAGAAGCTACTATACGACATTTAACCCTTCAATATGTCTTCAAAGAGACCATGATGCAGAGAACGTGGTGCTAGTGCTTCCAAGCATAAGCACAAGTCACTATCTATCCAAGAAAAGGGTGAATTTCCATGGTCCGGCAATTTCCATGGTCTGGCACGGTCAGGTCCCGAAGTTGCTAGACTAGAGACGTACAACCTGTACTGGAAGTAAGGTTACTACTGTCTGTGTTTTAGCCATGTCTCTGGTCTTTGTTTCTTAGTTCTGTAAATGTGGTTTTAAAACTTATAATTGTTTATTTCTTTTGATTAAATTAATTTCAAAGCTCAGAGCTACAAATGACTAATCTGGCATTAGCTACTTGTATTTAAATGTACCGAAAACTGGAATATTAATAGTTACAAATTTATTTAAATTAGAAGCAGACATTCCTACTTGGTAATAGATACTGTAGAAATTTTGGAACTATAGTAGTTTGTTCATCAATAAATTGGGAAGATTTATTTTGCCATTTGTGTATAATTTATACCTGTGTGGTATGGCATTGCATGTATTTTTTTTTAATTTCAAATTAATTTGCTCAGTAAATAAAACATATCCAAATAAATTTTCACTTTCTGCATAGGAGATACAAGTCTCTTACTGCACTCCCCGAGTCCTGAGACGATGCATACTGTATTTTACATTCCAAATAAAATTAAGGTTTCTGTTGAATCATATAATTAGCTATCATTAAGCTTACTTATTATTTTTAAGTAATTTAAAAACAATTTTACTGTCAGTATTGGTATTGGCAAAGTATCGACCATTTCAAAGTATCATAGTATCGCGATCGGCAAAATTTTTAGTATCGGTACATCCTTAGTATGTGGTGAGGAAGACTATTTGATCACCTGTGGGAACTGAGATCAACATTGACTGATGTAAACAGAGATCAGATGAACAATGTTGATATAGAGAAATCTGACTGAGAAAGATTTAGGGGTAATAATAAGTAGGAATCTTAAACCAAGACAACAATGTGTAATTGCTCGAGACAAGGCTAACAAAGTACCCGGGTTCATACAAAGACGTGTTAGTTACAAGACTAACGAGGTTATCCTAAAACTATATCTTGCATTTGTGAGACCTCACTTGGATTATGCAGTTCAGTTTTGGTCACCGTACTACAGAAGGAATATTGAATCCCTAGAAAGCATACAGAGGAGGATTACAAGACTAATCCCGGGCATCTGAATTTGCACTCCCTAGAGAGATGTAGAGTGAGGGTCAATATGATTGAGGTGTATAAATGGAAGTCAGGGTTAAACAAAGGTGATATAGCAAAGGTACTTAAATTTTCCAACCAGGAATGAACTCATTGCATTGGTTTTAAATTAGACAAATTTAGATGTAGGTGCAAGGCCCCCATTTACACCAGCTTCACAGAAACTGGAATTGCATGTCTGCATTGAACTTTAAACACCCAAGTTTCTTTTTTACCAAGTTAAGGTTCTCACACATATGTGGCTGCTCCCCCCCCCCCCCACTTTCTTCTTCCATGCTGCATGTAAGGCATCATAGGGACACAGGTAGTACATTATCATTACTCTAATGAAATTAAAGTATGTGACAATTTTGTTTTTTCTTGACAGTGTTGGACATGCGAGGCTGAGGCCATCTACCACTGTTGCTGGAACACAGCTTACTGCTCCATTGAGTGTCAACAACTTCACTGGCATAAAGAGCACAAAAAACTCTGTCGCAGAAAGAGGTAACTTTATGTATTTAGGGGACATGTTAAGGGTGGGAAGATGAAAGAATATTTTTATGAATTTTTTGAGAGATGAGGTGTGTCAAACTGTGCTATTTGATTAGAGTTTACACAGCTAAATACAAAGTTTATTAAAGTACCCCAGTTGTAAATTTTTTAATTAAATGGTGGGTTATTGTGTAATATGTGGAATGTGATTCTTTCAAAATGGAATCCCTAATTAGGTTTAAGGTGAAAAGATTATATCAAGAAAATGCCCTGTTTACTTTTTATACTGTAAATAGAAACCCATGTATTATCTGTTACATGGTTTTGTAAAGCCTCTGGTGACCCAGCTACAGGTATTGTAGTGTTAGGTAAAGAACATTATTGTGGGAGTTTAGCTGACATAGCACAGCCTGAGATTACTCCTCTTAAGACACCATCTGCATGCTTTTGATGACATTCATTTAAGTATGCAGGTATTGTAGAGTATATGGCATGGAATCATTTGAATATATGGTTGGCCTTGATTTTGGTTAAATAGAGTGTGGTACACTTTCCCATGTGGGAATGTACATGCACTTCACTGATGAGCTTATATGTCATACAACTTGCACTTTTATCTCCATCACAGCTGCTCGATCCATTCATATGAGCATGCCTGGCAAGGCTCTCAGGGTAGTGTAATTTATCTTGTGAGTGCATGTTTTAAGTTGCTGTTAGTGTCAGTACCCAATCAAGTGTTGAAACAGTGTAAAGTACACAACTTTTTTATTTGATCAGTATTTTATTTTTCTGAGGTCCAGCTTAAGGTAGAGGGATCATGGATGTTCATGCAAGTACGTTAAAAATAAAAGCTTGCTGGCGAGCATTTAAACTTATGGCCTATTTTATGTGCCATGTTTGTGGAATACAGTGAGGTGGGATAATACCTAGATGCCAGTGTTTGCCAACAGGACTCACAAACTGAAGGCCCATCTGTAGTTTTATTTGAGTTTACCGGTAACTGTTTCTAGTGTTTTATTAAGTTATACTATGATTCTCATATCTGTTGTATAAAGTTGAGGCTGCTGCAGTTAACTTTTGAACTAAAATGGTTATTAATGGCACCTGTGATTATTTTCTTTAGTTTGTCAAAAAACATGTTTTGTGTTGGCTCATCCTCAGATACAGTACACAGTTTGTTGAGAATTGTTCTTCTATGAAGACTCATCTGCAGCTGTACATTAGTTTGACCTCATGTCTTGTTTTTATTTGTAGAATTTTTGTAAAAATATATTTTATTCTATTGTAACTTCATCAAAGCATATTTTGTAGGCAGCTTATTATGTTTAGTATAATGTATTTCTAAACACAGTATAGTAATTCTCAGACATATAGGAATTATCACTTTTGAAATGCAGTGTTTTTGTTAATGTCAGAAGTGAATTATTATTATTTTTAATTATGCCAGTGTATCAGAGAAACATCTATATTAATGGAAAAGTATTTGTATGTATTATATATTTAGTTACACAGAGTAGTTCCCATTTTTAATAATTATTATAATAATAATTATTATCATTATAAAAATTATTATTATTATTATTATTATTATTATTATTATTATTATTATTATTATAATTATTTTTATTATTGCATATTGTACAATCTGGTAACATAGAAATTGTATCTATCGGTACTCGAAGAGTCTCTGCTCACAGTGATACATGATAACACACACACAAACACATTAATTTTATTTTTAATCACTGCATATTAGGGTGTGTCATACGGAGGCGAATTTTTTTTTTTTTTGAGTTTGAAAAATCGGCCCATGGTAATAATGATGAAGTTCTATGTGCAGAATCATGTGATATCTTCAGATTTGAAAAGTTTTCATTTTGTGCTAGGTAAATTTTAACTTGAAATCTTATGAAAATTCAGTATTCCCACCCTTTTACCAACACCACTAAATAGCTTATTTAAAGTAAAGTAAATGTATCAGGTTAATTTATTAGGATGAAAATGATCCAGAATAGTGAAACGAATGATCTTGACACATTTATTAAATTTAATATTCCTTTAGAAAACAAAATAATCAAATACAAAAACCGGTTTTACTACTACGACCCGGTGTTGCTGCACACCATAGAGAACATGTCTTTCTTGCTTCTGTTTCTACTCATCACCTCCCTGCTGACCACCTGAGCTCGGATGTAGCCTTCCCTCCTCTCCTGGCTGTACACGTGACTGCTGGCCTCGCTCACTTGCTGTACATAACGCTCTATACTCGGGGTGTGCGAGGGCCAGGCAGGGACATGCATGGGGTTGTCCAGGAAAGCTCTGACTTGAACATTGGTGAGGCTGCAGGTAAGAGGGGGCTCACTGCCAGCCTGGATGTTATCCAGATCTATGAGATCAGTGAGGGTCTTGGCACCTAGATTGACTTCAGGAGTCTTCCTGACCCTGAAGGAATCGTCACCAACTGATTCGTCATGCCCAGATCCTCTCATAAGTCTCATATCCAAGATCTTTTTGACTGCCACTCTCTCTCTTCCTCATCCTTACTGCAGAGCATTGTCTGCAGAACTGCCTCGGGATGAGCATACCAGGAAGATCTCCTCACAGTCTGCTCCACAATCTGAACAACCTTCCTTGGCTGACTCCTCAGGAGCTCAAGCTGGAAGAGAACATGCCTCGGACCTTCGGAGAACGATGACTTGACCTTGGTGTTGAACCAATTTGGCAAGTAGACACTCACGATGAATTGGACAATAAGTCTCAGGTTGTGAAGCTGGTTCCCTTTCAGTTTATGATGAGCGACCCAAATTCTGCAGAACCTGAGAGCCGTTGTGAGCCACCTAGAATGTGAGACTGGACCTATCTGCAGGTAAACAAGTCTATCAGGCATGACCCCAGTTTTGATGGCACTGCAAATCATGTAACCATAGTACTGGTCAGTACTCAGGTCGTCAATGACAGTATGTGCAAGCTCAACGAGTGGAGGGCCAACTGTGATTTTTCAAAGCTCGGATTTATTTCTAACTCAGCAGCAGAGTCCAAACATCTTGCCAAGAGACCAGACCATCTGTTGTTTGAAAGAGTTCCTACATCCAGCCTGGATCAGATGTGTCTGGAGTAGCAACTGCTGGTGTGGAGGTCACAAACAATCCAGACCAGCTCTCTCCCAATCTTCCGCTTATCCACTGTATGACCCCCCCTGCTAATTCTGTGTTCGTGTTGGTGCTGTCCCCCTCCAATGGCCTGCAGGGTCTGGTCTACGCTCCTCTCTCTGAGCCAGTTCACATAATGTTATCTGCCACTATCTCAGCTGGTTTCCTGATGTCATCTTTCTCTGGAGTGAAATGCCACAAATATTTCCCTCCTGGTTCACTGCAGCAGGAGTAGTGTTCCTCCTTCACCATGGCAGGGAACAACTTGTCAGAATCTCCAACTTTCATGAACACTTTAGTGTCATTCCTTCTCCCATCAAAGAACAAACAATTGATTCCATTTTCTCTTATCCCCTTATCAAACTCCTCTTCTAGGTTACTGACAAGTTTCTCCTGAGCTCTCCTTACTTTGTTATGATCTATCACCAGGTGAACATCATCAGGTGTTATCAAACCACCGTCAATCCAGGCAGCTGTTGCTATCTCTGCAGTTTCTCTGAGACCAGTGTGGTGTCGCATGCTGGCCAGAGCTATGCTCGGGATATCTTTCCTATTTCGAATCTTATGCCTGGAAAGTTTGGGATCATTATTTTCTGGGTTAGGGACAAAGTCACCATTCTCCTGGTCAGCACTTGGATCAGCCATGGGGAAGTTATTAAACTCTGAATCAGCTTGACTCCAATCATCGGCCTTTTTTACCTCACCCTGGGCCTTCTCAAGTCTCTTTTCCTCGGCAACTCTTCTCCTCTTCTGTCTCTCTGTGGCAGCCTCCTGTCTCTTGGACCTCGAATATTTTGGCTAGAAATCATGAGAGCCCCTATGCCAGTCTTCTCTCTCTGTGCTTTGACAAATGATTCGATCACAGAATCTTCAGTTGCAGCAAATAAATACAGGAGATGTAGACCTCGGTTTACAGTCACGATCGCATCAAACTCCAGGACAGAGAGAACAATTGGGCACGCCGCAAGTAATTATGTCAAATAACTGGTCCAGTTGCTTGGCAAAGCTGTCCTTAACTGCAAGTTTTCTCCCAAGAGATATCTCTTGCCTTTTCCCAACTGGCTCTTATGATCTCACTAATCTTCTTCTGACTTGTTATGACTGGAGGCTTGAACTGAGCGTTAGCCAGTGTACTGCTCCAAGACAGCTTTGGTCATATCACTGCTTAATGTCTTTGTTTGTGTAAGTTCTTTGGTCTTTTCACTGATTTGCCTGATTAAAACACCGTATCTCAAAGCATCTCTCAATGTAGGCAACTCCAACTTCAGGAGCTCTCTCCCAGACCCAAAGATAGTGACTGAGATGGCTGGATTTTTGGTTCCTCGTCCTGACACAAGCAGCCATCGCAAATATTATCAACTTATAAATGCATCAGAATCTGAAACAGAAATAAATATTGTTAGTTGGGTTGTTAAAGAATGAAGTCAGAAAGCAATGTTCACTATTTAATTGTAATGCACTAATGCAGCTGTACGTTAGATTTTCGATAAATTTCACGCTAAAATTTACCTAGCAAAAGGTTGCAAAATATTGAAACTGAAATTATTTTCTGTTTAAATACACTAAAATCTGCCAAAAAAGTGATGGACCATTAGTTTTAGCTGATCTTCCCTCCTATGACACACCCTACAGTGCATATAGCAACACATATAAATTCTATTGTATTGCTGTAGAAGTACAATTACTATTGTGTTGCCCTCCCCCGATTGGGTAAAGACTTTTAGGACACCTTATTTAAAGCAAGGATTTTGTAGAATATGAAGAGTTTATATCTGTCTTGAACATTTCCTTGTAAGTGCAATTAACAGACAATGAACATATATGTTTAAACCACTTACTCAATTCCTTTAAGCTAGCACCTAA